CAGAACACTCTGCCACTGCTCCAACAGAAAAACCAGGTCAGGCGAATGACCACTATTATGCGTCGGGCCCTGGATGACCTGGGACAGGCCCATGGCTGTCATGGTGGCTGAAAACTCCCAGGCTTCCTCTGACCCCACCTCCAAGGAAGGCAGGTAGAAATCCCCCAAGACCATAAGCCTGGGGAACTCCACCGCCAACCCGGCTACAGAGTCAAGGAGCTCAGGCAGGGAGGTTACTATGCAGCAGGGAGGCTGGTACAGTAGCAACAGTCCCAACTGATCCCTCTTAGAGCCCAACTTAACAAATGGGGCCTTGCACCCAGCAGAATGAGGAGCAGCAGCCCTGAATGCCTCCCAAGTGTCTCGGATGACCACCGCCACCTACCCTGGGATTTTGGTCCCACACCTGGAAACCAGCTGGGCACATCTCAGAAAGGGGAACTCCCCCGTCCTCTCCTTCTCCCAGCCAGGTCTTCGTAATTTGCCTTGAAATATAACTTGACTGATAGGCTACTGAGCGGAGGAACTGGCCTTTACTTCCTTCCTGCTACCTATACTTGCCAGGGCTCAGAAAAGCACCAGTCCAGCAGTGATCATGGAAGTGTGTGATAGGAGTGTTTTCTTTTAGTTAACATTATTTCATCTCCTGCCAGATATGGACCCAATGCTTGGGCTCAGTATCTGTACTAAAATGTTTGAAAACACAAGGGAGTTATGCAAGATTAATTATATTTACAGCTTCAATAGAAAGGTTGTTAACTTAATGATCCCTTGCTATTTTTCTACAAGAGCAGAAATTGTCTCAAAGAGGATCCTGCCAATTCTTTCATTTGCCATTTTTGATGTCTTCAGTTGGCTGTTGAAAAAGTTCCAAATGGGTAAATGCACATATTAAAAAATGCTGTATGTTACTTTCTTTTGTGTTCAATAGGACTTGTTTTCTACACATCAGTCCATAGAAGTGAAGAATTCATCTTTGTCATCTACTAAAATAATGACAAAAACATCATTGTCTTTGTTTGAAGATGAGGAAGAAGAGGTATGTGATGCGTGAAAACAGATAACTCTTACTTTACAGTAAAAGGTGATATGAGGACTGTAAATTGAGAGGATTTCATTTTTTTCGGTTGATGTATGTGTTTGAATGTTATAGGTGCTTTCACAAGTCAATTTGCCTAAGAACCTAGGAGTTCTTATGTTAATGTTATGTTATGTTAATGTTATGTTAGATGATGTTAATCTAAACTACAATCTTTGTTCCAGCAGAATCTTATTTCACAAGCAATAAAGTGTTAATGCTAAAATACAACACACTTATCTATGATCTTGAATACTGGATAGTGGGTTTAGAGAAAGGAGATGAAATCCAAAATACAAACTCTTTCCTTCACACGTGTAACAGTCTCATTTTGTATTACCACAGCAAAACTTTCCACAAACACACAAATCCTAATTTCAGTTAGGTGTTTTTCTCTCTTTAAGACCATTTTCTTCCAGTGTGTGGCTTTACTCGGCTTTTCTGTTCTGAGCCACAGTCTTCCCTTTTTTCCCCCCTTCTTTGTATTGAGTTTCTTGCTCAGCCATAATTCCCTACTTTCCTGTTCTACTATACCAGGAGCCAGCAATCCATTGTGTCAGCAGCCACAGAACTGAGCCAAGAAAGAAGCTGCAATGCTGTATTCACTTCAGCACAATCAGAAACGATGTAACAGCAGAAACACACTCCTTGGCTGTTGGCTTGATGCTCTTCCTGATACCTATGCTCAGTACACACTTTTACATTTGCTAATTTTATTTATCTACTATATGTAGAACATTTGTCTCTTTAACAGCTCAAGACAGTTTTACAGTGAAAATCCTTTTAAAACAAACAATGAAAATCCTTTTAAAACAAAAAACAAATATTTAATATTAAATATTAAATATTTCTCACCACAGAAAATACAAAATTAACCATCAATGTCAAATGTATCTGCAATAGAACCCACAGAAGATGATCTGCAGTAGAACCCATTGATGATCTAGGAATGCAGGGCAGACAGTATGGGAATAGGTAATCCTGTAAATAGTCATTCTTAAGCGTGCAAAACTTGTTTTGAGTTCCCATTTTTCTCTACTGTGGAATATTCAACATATTTGAAGCTTTGTTCCATTGGAATATAAAATACTTTAAGTGATTTGTTTGGAATAGGACATTGTTCCATTCATACTTTTATAAATGTATGTAATGCATATAAGAATGCCCTCCATGTGACTCTAGAGAAGACAGAAATTTACTGACTGCAGATTTTCTCAGAATTTCATGGAGGGTATTCCCACATCTTATTTTTAGGGACCACTTGAGAGTTATTTCTAGGCTTTCTGCAGGAATCATGGATATGAGGAAGTTATTTCCAGGCCTTCTGTCAGTGCTGCGTGTTTAAGAAGGGCATGGATAGAGAGTTCATGATTTGATTCCCATTTATGTTCATCTATTAGTTTATTCAATATTAATTATAAATATAACATAAATTAATATAATCAATATAAAAAGTGTTTCCCAGATCAGAGGGCTTTACTCATAATCACTACCCTTGTCATCTCATGGCTGGATTATTGCAATACTGAACATGAGGTTGCCTTTGAAGACCATCTGGAAGCTTCAGTAGGTGCACCATGCTGCAAACTGGGTAGTTACGGGTACATTTGGTTCACCCATGTAACTGCACTACTATGGAAGTTGTACTGGTGTCAGTTAGCTTCGGGGTGCAATTCAAGATACTAGTTGTCAACTTTAAAGCCCTGTGTGGCTCAGGGACTGGATGTCTCCAAGTAGAATCTCTTTCTCAGGTAAGATCTGGGAGAGAAGGGTTGTTGAAAGTTCCATCACTGAGGGAATGCCACCTTCAGAGCAGGGCTCAAGCCTTTTCATTGATGGTCCCCCTCAGCTTGCTCACCATTATACAGACCACCTCTCCTTACTACATTTTGAGAGAACCATAAAATGTGGTTCTTCAGAAAGGCATGTGGGGATGAAGACCATGTATCTCAAAGTGTGGTACATTTAATTCATTGTTTAACAGGGAAATTGAACAAAAGCTTGAACAGAATCTTTACAAGCCTTGAAAATCACTTATATAAATATCAGTGAAGGAGATTGGAAAAATTATTTTAAAAGATATGATCATAGATCTTAGCATTGAAGAACAGCACTCTGTGTATCTTCTATCATTCAGTGGGACAATTATTTGAAAAATAAGATTTTCTTATTTTCAAAGATGGTATGTATCCTTGAGATGTAAAGGTGGAGCTAAATAGTTTTATAATGCGTGCACTTAGGAAAGCTACAGTGGTGCTTAAAAGTTTGTGAACCCTTTCAAATTGTCAATATTTCTGCATAGATAAGACCTAAAACATCATCTATTCTCCATACAGATACTTAAAACTAGGTAAAGAGAACCCAATTAAACAAATGAATCAAAAACATGAGAGAGAGTGACTGGCCAAAATCACCCAACTGGCTTTCATGCCTAAGGGAGGCCTAGAACTCACAATCTCCTGATTGCTAGGCCAAGTACCTTAATCGCTACACCAAACTGGTTATATTGTGTTCCACTGCTTGAGTCAGTTTTGTTCTGTGTACTGTGCATTGGTTAATTATGAGTTATGTAGTGAAAATATGGAGCCTGGTAGAGATTGGTTTTTCAGTTGCTTGCAGCAAATTAAATCCTACTTGTTTTTTTCAGGAACTCTTTGGATCTGTGCCTAAGATGCCAAAATCTCAGGAGAAAACAGCCACCTTGTTTTTCAGCAGTGATGAAGAGGTACCATGTTCAGAGGTTATTAAAATGTGGGTCTGCAATGTGAAGCCAAATTTGTTTACTACAGAGCTTTCATTGTTTAGGAATTGTTTATGTATGATGATGCTTTCATTTGTTCTTCTTCAAGCCTCTGTAGAATATGCAGAGTCAAATCAGCCTACTCTGGCCTCTGAAGCTTTGTTGGTCTCACATATAAAGGATAATTCTGGATCCAGAAATAAACATGCAGCAATCATCCATATTCTGTTTGTTACAGAGTTGCTTTTTTCCTCAGAAATGTAGATTATGTGTTAAGTAGGAATTTTGAATCAGGGAGGTTGAACATATTTATTTATGAAATTTGTACACCATGTGACTCCCAGAGACTCTGGGCAGTTTATAAAGCAATGCAACAGTAAAAATAAGGAAAAAAAGATGGCAAAAACTGGGCAACAACAAGAAACAGATCCAGAAGGGGCTACACCCATCCTAGCCAAAGGCCTGGACTAAGAGCCAATTCTTTTAAGGCCCTCTGAAACACCAGCAGGGTAGGAGCCACGCAGATCTCAGGAACCTAATTCCAGAGGGCAAGCACTACATTACAGAGGAGGCACGCTTCCAGGGTCCCAATAGATGGCATTGTTTGGCCATTGTTGGCATGCCAACCCTGCAGATTGAATCAGCCGGGCAGATACTACATGAGATAGGGAGTACCTCAAGTAACCAGGGCTTTATAGATAACAACGAGCACTTTGAATCACATCCAAAAGCAAACTGGCAATCAGTGCAGCTCATGAAGCAGGGCTATTACATGGGTGTACTGAGATACGTCCATCACTGCCTGCACCACTCCATTCTGGACCAGTTGAAGCTTCTGGGCACCCCCATGTAAAATATGTTGCAATATGTTGAGATAATTAGGGCATGAGTACTGAAGGGTCTCTGCATGTTATCTCTTCTTGAAAGATTGAAGAATTAAGGCATTTCCTGGTAGAAATGAAGTGGGAAAAAATAAGATGTATCTGAAATAGCAGGGGAAAATAATTACTACATTTAGAGCTGTGCTTTTCTAGCTTTTATCTAAATTGCTAGGGTACCAAGAGGAGTATTAACCAGCTTCTCGGTCTAAGCTCAGTAAGCTAAAACCCTACATTCTGTTAAAAAACTTAACATTTTTAAAATAACATGCAGGATAAACCAATAAAAATAAAATAGAATATTCCTGTGGAATATATAATCTATCTGGGGGGTGCATAAAGCTGTAGTTTGTTGTAGGTCCCCGGTTCAGACCCTAGGCATATTTTATCAAAAAGATCCTTAATCGCAGACTAGTAAAAGACTTAGGCCTGAATCCTTGTAGATTCAATTATACTAGTGATATGCATATTCATAGCCTGCTTTTCATTGAGAACCTGCCTAAAGATACAACTAATTTTATTTTGATTTCATGCTCCTAAAAAAGACATTATTTGAGTTATATGGTGAGATTGGTTTATTTCTGGTTTGGTGTATCACTATTTTGGTAGCTTCTTAGTTAATGTGCATTTATTGATGTACCTTGATACGAAATTGACCCTCTCTATTTGAATAATGAATAACAGCATTGCAGAATAATTGTATAAATAACTGGTGTATTTTTAGGATTATTGTAATAATAAAAAAGATGTCAAAACTGCTTCTGAAGGAAGTAAAAAAAAGGAACCTATAAAGTCTGCCCATGGGGCCAATCAAACTATTAAGAGGGGCCTCTTTGAAGAAGAAGAAGATTTCTTTATTACCACAAAAGACAGGTAAAATATCTAGCAACAAGAAAATGATATGTTCACTTATTAATATTGTATTTTATTCAAAACATGTTTTTTTAAAAAAAAATTGGCTCAGATTTAATAGCAAAATATCTATGCCATTTTTGGAAATTACAAATTTGGAATCTATTAGTACTTTCTTGCTTGTAAGCATTAGGAAATGATTGAAGACAAAGTGCATTGGGAAATGGTCAAAATTAAGATGGCATGGAGTCCAATTATTACTGAAAGCTTTTTTTGAAAAAAAAAATTGCACTGTTTCAGTGCATATACAGTGGGGCAAAAAAGTATTTAGTCAGCCACCAATTGTGCAAGTTCTCCCACTTAAAAAGATGAGAGAGGCCTGTAATTTTCATACTTTGTTATATATCCTTTGTTGGCAATGACAGAGGTCAAACGTTTTCTGTAAGTCTTCACAAGGTTTTCACACACTGTTGCTGGTATTTTGGCCCATTCCTCCATGCAGATCTCCTCTAGAGCAGTGATGTTTTGGGGCTGTCGCTGGGCAACACGGACTTTCAACATACTTTGTTATATATCCTTTGTTGGCAATGACAGAGGTCAAACGTTTTCTGTAAGTCTTCACAAGGTTTTCACACACTGTTGCTGGTATTTTGGCCCATTCCTCCATGCAGATCTCCTCTAGAGCAGTGATGTTTTGGGGCTGTCGCTGGGCAACACGGACTTTCAACATACTTTGTTATATATCCTTTGTTGGCAATGACAGAGGTCAAACGTTTTCTGTAAGTCTTCACAAGGTTTTCACACACTGTTGCTGGTATTTTGGCCCATTCCTCCATGCAGATCTCCTCTAGAGCAGTGATGTTTTGGGGCTGTCGCTGGGCAACACGGACTTTCAACATACTTTGTTATATATCCTTTGTTGGCAATGACAGAGGTCAAACGTTTTCTGTAAGTCTTCACAAGGTTTTCACACACTGTTGCTGGTATTTTGGCCCATTCCTCCATGCAGATCTCCTCTAGAGCAGTGATGTTTTGGGGCTGTCGCTGGGCAACACGGACTTTCAACATACTTTGTTATATATCCTTTGTTGGCAATGACAGAGGTCAAACGTTTTCTGTAAGTCTTCACAAGGTTTTCACACACTGTTGCTGGTATTTTGGCCCATTCCTCCATGCAGATCTCCTCTAGAGCAGTGATGTTTTGGGGCTGTCGCTGGGCAACACGGACTTTCAACTCCCTCCAAAGGTTTTCCATGGGGTTGAGATCTGGAGACTGGCTAGGCAAAATTACAGGCCTCTCTCATCTTTTTAAGTGGGAGAACTTGCACAATTGGTGGCTGACTAAATACTTTTTTGCCCCACTGTATATATATGATTGGCTAAGACAGTATCCAGCAGGTCCCTATTTCTGAGTAAGGGCAGCATAACAGTTTTTTATATTTAGTGCATTCTCAAGCACAAAAACTGTTGATTGATGTTTCTTCATGAGAGTTGTATCTCCAGCTTCCCCAGATGTGCTCTGCTGTGCCCTGCCCTGCCTCAGAGTAGAAGGCACTGAGTAGAGGGCTTCTGAAAAGCCATTATTTTCAATCTCCAAAGATAGAGATGACAGGAAAATGTTAACTCCACCTCTTCTATAAGAAGGCAAGGCAAACTAAATACCTTTTTCACCTGTGGCAAAAACAGCATCTCTTTAATCATAGCTCTGCCTTCTACAAGAAGCAAACAATAAAAATGGAAAAGAAGTGAAAAAGAAAGGATGTGTTCTTTCTCAGGGAGCCCCCAGGGCCAGTAGCATGATAAAAGGATTATTTTTAGAAATACTAAGCCACATGGAGGCTATGCCAGTAATCACTTTCTTGGACTGTTGTACTAAGAAGTGAGGGATAAACAGTAAAGTAAGCACTGGAGAAAGCAAGAGATTGCAGGTGCTTGCTTTTTTAAAAAATGAGACCACAGGAAGAACAAACCTCAGCTGAGTACCAGAAGCAGCAAAAGGCTGTCGTTACTCAGCTGCCAACACTATGAACAAAGGAGACACTGTCCATCAGGAGCATTTGATCAAGGGATAAATTGCTCTGGTGCATTCAGCCAGCAACAAGCAGCTCTCCTGTAACATCACAGCTCATTTGGCTAGGTCTAACAGCATGGGTCTTGCTAATAGATAGATAATAGGATAGCAATCTGAGTGGAACAGGGTACATTCTTTAAGCATTATAAGACAAATAGCTGTGCTTCCATAGATGTAGCCTTTGAGCACATGTGCTACATGAGATTAACCTCTACCAACCCTTCCTGGATCTACTGCTGTAGACTTTCTTCTTGCTTCCATCTTCAGTGACTAAGAACAGTAGTTCTCAGTTCATGGTACTCAAAAGATGGTCATCCTGGGCTTGGTTAATACTTGGAAGAGAGGACACTAGGGAGTATTAAAGCTGGAGGCTAGATGGGAAGTCACAGAAACATCCAGTAAGAAAGTAGTGAGGAACTACCAATAAAACTGCAAGGTTATGTGGTAACCAGGAATTGGAGAGCCAATCTGGTATAGTGGTTAAGACATCAGGCTAGAGTTCTAGTCCTGCCTTAGGCACAAAGCCAGCTGGGTGACTCTGAGCTAGTCCCTCTCTCTCAGCTGTAGGAAGAAGGCAATGGCAAACCACTTCCAAAATTTTGCCAAGAAATATGCAGGGACTAGTCCAGGAGAAAACAATTACTCAAAAGCACAAAAGGAAAAAAAAATTGAGCTTAACTTGGAGATTTTACTATTAATTAGCATAGACAACACTATGTTGTTGTGGTGGCAAATGCTGATACTTAACTACCTTAGCTCTTAATTTGACCTAATTGATAAAGTATTTGTGGAAATTATTTGTAAAGAAATAGTTACAGAATTCTAGCTATTAGCAAAATCACAGAGATACTGTTAACATTCCATTGTAATAAAAAGGAACAAGGCAATAACAGTCATCCATCTTGGACTGTACTCTGAATCTTAATAATTTTAAGTAATGCAGTTTGACTTCTCTTTTTTTTTTCAGCAATAAAAAAATACCTCAGAAAACTGCTCTTCTATTTGAAGGTGGTACCTTACACTGCAGCCCTCAACCAGCCTCAACCAGCCCTCAGCCAGCCTCATCTGATGCCCAAACAATAACAGTACATGCAGAGCAGGTAAGCAGAAATCCAAACTGTGACTTTGTAAACATTAAAGGCTCAGCACTCTCCTTTTGGGCCACCTTGTCATTGATGTGATACAGACCTTTGTTGCACCTGTCTCTGCTAAGCATGCTACTCCACACAGTGCATCCATCTAATGAGGGTTATAGCCAGCTGGATGCAACCAATGAAGATTTGAGGAAGGAAAGGTGACATTACTGAAGAATCGTTTGACTTCATCATCATCAGTTATAGGATTCCAATCTGGAAAATTTAGATTGCATGTAAGAATAGCAGAGTCTTATAGCAATTTGTCAGATTATTAAATTTATTATGAGAACTTGTGGATTAGAATCTACTTTAATCAGATGAATGATGAAGTGGTGGAGCTTAATTCACAAAGTCTTACTATAATACAGGTAGTCCTCACTATCCAACCATTTGGTCAGCAACTGTTCAAAGTTATGATGGCACTGAACAAAGGGACTTACAACCTGACCCAAAGTTACAGCGATCTGGGCCCTTGGCAATTGGTTTGCCCTTATGACTAGTTGTCAAGTGCCCCGCAATCATGCAATTGCCATTTGCGATCTTCCCTGCCACCTGCCAGGGAAATAGCTGGCAAGGAAGGTCACAAGCAGCAGCTGCCTCCCGAGGACTCCCTCTCATCTCTGAGGGCTGCCTGAAAAAGTTCTGTGCTGAAATCCAAGCAGGATTTTGGCATGGGGCATTTTCAGGCAGCCGCCAAAATCTTGCTTCGATCTCAGCACGAAGCTGTTACAAGCAGCTTCTAACAGCTTTGCACGGGGCTTCGGGGGCTGCCTGAAGAACTTCCGTGCTGAAATCCAAGCAGGATTTTGGCACAGGGCATTTTCAGGCCACCCTGAAAACCTTTATACTGAAATCCAAGCAGAATTTCAGCACAAAGGTTTTCAGGGCTACCAATAGAAGCAAATATGTGTAGCTCAGGGTTGAACTATAGAGTCCTTGGGGTTCTTTGATTTTGGTTCTTTTCTTGCAAACGTTTTGTTACCCAGCTAGGTAACATCTTCAGTGCTAGAATGGAATGGGGTTTGCTCTCTGTTTATATACTGTGGCATGCCCTGCCAGTGTTGGTGGGGGTGTGGGCTTTGTTTTGTTTTATTTTTTCCTCTGG